TAAGTACATAAAAATATTCAACATTATTAGTCATTAGGAAAATGCAAATTAAAACCACAAAGACATGCCACCACACACCCACTAGAATAGCTAAAAGTAAAGAGACTGACAATTCTATTTTGGTAAAGATGTGGAGGAATTAGAACTCACAAACATTGCTAGTGCAACTGCAAAACTGTAGAGTCACTTTGGAAAATAGTTCAGCAGTTTCTTATAAAGTTTAACTAATAAAGTTAAATATACCACTACCCTGTGACCCATAATCTCACGTCTAGATATTTCTTAAAGAGAATTACATGTGTCTGTGGAAAGATTTATACATGAATGTCATGTCATGGGATACTACTCAGCAGGAAGGATGCCACTAATATGTACAGCAGCACGGTTGCGTCTCAGAAGCATTTTTTCCAATTAAAAATGTCAGGTATAAAAGACTACATTCTGTGTGATACTCTGCTTATGAAATTCTAGAAAAGGCAAAAATGTAATGATAACAGAAAGCAAATCGCTGGTTGCCTGGGGCCGGGGTTGGAGACAGATGACTGCAAAGGGCACTAGGGAACATTCTGCAGTGATGGAAATGTCCTGTCATGAATTTTCTGGTTCATTGTTATATAGTTACCCAGAATCATCATTTATATACTTAAAATTGGTGAATTTCAATAAGGCTGATGTAAAAGGACATATAAACTCCTTGATCCATACCAATATTGAATTAGAATCTAAAGGAGGAAAGGCTGAGGAAGCTGAAAAATTTGAAAACCTCCCCAGGTTTATTATATAGGCTGATAGGTTTATGGAGCAACTCAGCCATCAGATTTCAATGCTTCCAATTAGCAAGACATAGTAGTTGGTCACCCTGGGCAACCCTAGATTCCGAGATGGCAGAGGCTAAACCTGTCACAGGTTTAATGCTTCCTACTCTGCATCTTGATTAGTCTGAAAACTGGGACATGACTATGTTTTCAGGGGGCAGGTCGATAGCCCAGTCTGGGCATCAGCAGAAGAGAGAAAGCAGAGTTGCAAATAGTGTTTATTTCTATGACTACTCCTGCTATGCTGTTATTACTATTAGTATTGGCTAATTTCAGATGTGTCTTTACTTTTAAAAGAAAATCTTGATGGTAAATAAATTCCAAGAAATAGAGGTGGGATTAAAGTTTTCTTTTCATCTCCCCTTTCGAATCTGTCTTGTGAGCAATTCATTCAGAGTGAACACCATCTGAGCGTACAGCACTGAGGTAGGTGTCACAGGGTAACAGTTCTGAAACTTAACTCATCTTCAGGGCTTTAAATGAAAAAGACATGGAAGAAGATACAAAGTCCCTCCTCAAGAAAGTCTTGTCAATGGCCTGGGGTGAGACCCAGAACTCTGCGATTTGAATGCTCCTCCCTGCAGCTTCTGGTGTGCAGCTTGGCTGGGAACAGACCGTCATAGGAACTATGAAAATGTATTAAGATAAATTCCCTGTTGTCTTTGATCAGTCTCAAAAACAAACTGGGCTAATTCATAATGACCTCCTTTTTCATCCAAATTGAGCCAGCCAACGCAGAGAGCACCTGAAAGCCTTTCTGTCAGTGTATCTAACACCCGAAAGACAAGTAGAGACCAACATAGCAGAGTCTCAGTTTCCAGATGTCCATGATCTGAAACATGGAAAGAGATGTTGGTATGAAGGAAGGGCTAATCATTACTAAATTGAATGCAAACAACATGTTACCAATGTTGCATTAGAGAATTGTACACCTAAAACCTATAATATTTTATTAACCAATGTCACCCCAATAAATTCAATTTAAAAAATACAAAAAAATTATGCAAAGCTACTCCAAATACTATGGCAATCTTGAGCATGTCTGTGGCTGAGGACTACACTCAAAATATCTGTCAATATTCTACAAATAATATTTATTCTCCAGAGCCCCTAACCTAACTCCCTCTCCTTCTGTGGCACACATTTCTCATAGTTCTTTTCTAACAGTGTAATCTTCCACAAAGCTCTCATGAACCTGCCTTGGGAGCAGGGGTGTTTTAAGGCAGTTAGTAAACAGCTTTTGCCCTTGAGAATGCAGAGAAAACCAGGCTATGCATCTGTAAGTTGTGACAATCACACTCATCAGTTTTGTCAGCCTCGATTATAATCCACTCTGGGAGGTGTCACACTTCACTGAAACTCCACATTCACTTACTAGTGCAGAACCTTTGCCATTCTGCCTGAAAGCTGCAAACTTCAGATGTTTACCCAGTTTTTTCATAATGAAAAGATGGGATCAAAAATAACTCATTTTAATTTAAAAATCTGTGAAATATAACACCATGGTATATCATCTTAGGTTTCAAAAGGATAGAGGTCACTTTTCTAAATGTGTATTTAGGTTCTGGAAGAAAAGGGCCAAAAAATTGTATTTAAAAACCAAGTATTTCCTTCATTTAAAATAAAACTGTAGCCTTTTCCCCCCCCCATAAAAACAATTACTTCATTCCAACCCTTTTTTAAAGGTGTTTAATGTTTGTTTCACATCAAAAATTGTGGTGTTAGGATTTTAATGAATCAGATTTTAGATGCTTGAGGCTATTTCTCTGCAGTGACAGATAATGGAGAGCTTGTCTAATGTGTGAAAAGCTAACAGAGTTGGGAGAGGTAACAGATAAACCAACACACATCAATAAGGGATAGGCATTTGAAATGCAAGGACCGCATGCTTATAATTTCAGTGGCCAGGATATAGTAGGGGGAGGGGATAAAATACAAAGATGTTGACCTTATTATCTTTGTGAGGTGTTTATTTTGTATTGTGGAGAAATTAGAAGACATAGTCATAATTCAATGAAAGGGGCTAGGAAATATATATTAAATGTTATACCTGGTGTATCAAATCAAAGACTTCTAACAAGGTAGAATGTAAATCTACAATAAGGACTTCCCAAGATTAGGAAACCAGAGTCGAAGCCCAGGATGATGCCAACACCAGGCATAGAAGTAAAGCCAGACAGCTTCCACTCACCCTCAGAGAAAACTATCTTTAGGGGAGCAGAGGTCCCCACAAAGGCCTTACCACTGACATTCTGCTATGGTTTAAGAGGTAAGTAGGCATTTTGTGGTTAGACAAATGAAACAATCTGAGAGGTAGAAAAACATTAATTTCACTGATACAGATGAATTCTAAAGGTACAGGCTGATTAAAGAGCAACAACTTTTACCACACTAGGTAAATCTTATTGATCCTTAAATATGAAAGGGAATTCTCAGGGACCCTCATGGAATATAGCCCAGAAAGGCAGAGAAGCACCAAGTGCAGCATAACTTTGGCATCTCAAGGGTTTCATGCATCATTGACAGTAACCATTGGTGTAGGGAGCACTGTGCTCTGACGTTCATTGTGTTGATAGTTCCCTCGGATGTGTCAGTACAACCTAGCAGAGGTGGTACAGTGAAAAAGAGGGATAAAAGAAATAGATATCCCATGTAGCTAACTTCTATGAGCCAGCACATGTGAGACTCTTAGAAATACTTGTAGGAGCTCAATTGCATTGTTAGCAGGAGAGGTAACTACACTACCATCCTTGTCCAACTTTTAAATAATAATGATGAAATGAGTTCCTTATATTCTAATTTCTCACTGCAGCATTTTTTATCATTATATTTCATAATTAGGCAGTCTGTATACCCCAAAGCTCATGTGTTTGGCACATCTGTTCAAGATCTCCAGAACCCAGGTAGATGGCCTCTTCAGGGATATTAAAGAGAATGGATTCTGCAAAACAGACTGTTGTTCTTTCGAAAATGGTAAACATGATAATTTTTTTAAGCAAGCATCCTTCTTAAAAGCAGTCATTTTACAAAATCAGTTAAAAAGACTGAGTATTTATGGGCAATCTGCCCTGGTGCATATATTAAGAACCTTATTTCTCGTAACACTTCAGTGATGCTGCGTATGTCCTTCTCACTCATAAAGGAAATAATGTTCCTTCTTTAAATACTCCTTAAAAGACTTGCTTCCTTAAATGGCCCCACACACTGCATGATGTTGAAGCTGCCAAAATGACACTTAGTGGCAGTGTGGCAATTTCACCCAACTTCAATAATTTTCTTAATCTTGATTTATATTTTGACCTTGACGCCATACTTCCTCATGCCTAACAAGTACCTTTTGTTACGTCAGTCACTTAGTTGTAGGTCTGTCTATCCTACCTTCTTCTAAAAGTCTTTGAAGTGACCTATGCCTCTAGCTCCAACTGAGAGTGAGACTGGTGTCACTGTTGATGCAGTCATCACAGTAGTGCAAGGATGGAACAGGAAGGTCCAGGAAGGACGCCCACACAAACACTACCAGTTCCCTAGAGAAGAGGGTCAGTGGTTGAGGTACTTCAGCAAGTGAGGCATGATTGTACTCTTGCTGGTGAGTGAGAGGAGAGGAGACGGGGAGAAGAGGTCCGGAAGATGAGTGTGATGGAGTGGGAGATCGCATGGGGCTTTTATTCAAGGACACTCAGTAGATCCTTTGAAAAAACTCCCCATTTCTTTTGTGCAGTATTAGAAGATGGCAAAATTAACAAGATACCTTTTAGTCAAAAACTCTATGAAAACTACAACGATATAGAAACTATTCCCATACAAGTACATATGGTCTAGAAGGAAGAGCAGAGATTTTGGACCCCACCACCTGCAATTCTGAAAGCATCACTATTAGCCATCCCATAAGTATAAGAAATTATATCATTGAGTTCCAATGTTCAGCTACGCATTTTCATTTGCATTTGGCCAACCCTTTAAACTTTAAATCTTAGCATATATTTTCATATTCACTGCTGATCCCTGGTCACCAATACATGTTAAGATTTCTATGCTTATAATGTACAGAGACATAAGCATGCCTGTGGGTGTGTTTTAGCGTGGGGTGAAAGGGGTGGGAAGCAGAGGAAAAGAACAATCCTCCAGGATTAAACAGTCTGGCAACAACTTCCCACCTTCTTCTGAAAGAATCATATGAGAATTTACCTTCCAATGAGTGAGAACTCGCCCACGACGCCCAGGCGCCGCATGGCGCTCAGGAGGCCGCGCACCGTCATGCCTTCGCAGAAGCAGACCACCACTCTGGCCTTGGGAAGCCGCTCTCGGAGCTTGCGCAAGAGTCGGTCGAAGCTCTTCTCCCCGGCGTTGCTGTAGATCTTGTCCGAATGGGCGATGCAGAGGCCTTCCTGGGCAGCCAGCTCTTTGAAAGCATCCATTCCACTCTCCCCATAATTCCCTGTCCAGAAACAATCAGCAGATGTTCAAGACAACCTGGCGGCAGCAGCACCCACAACCTGGAATAAGGATTCATTGGTCACAGGGAATGGAAAGAACAGACTTGCCAAATTATTTGTAAATATAATTGGGACAGAAGGAAGATCTGGATGGATCAAGGAGAGTAACCCAACGATCAACTCTGAAAATATGAGAAACTTTCTAACTAGGGCATTCACAGTGAAACAAGTTTTTAAATGAAGGACCAATGTCCTATTTTAGAGCCATGATTAATGGTGGTTGTCCCAAATTCTAGCTATGAGGGAGAGGGCAGCACATTGGGGTAGGAAGTCAAGCAGCACAATAAGAAGGTCTGTTCATTTGGGGGCTCGTTTCAGCAGGTTCTGGTTAAGAGGCAGGCACTCCTTGTGATAGCAAGCCCAGCCACACTTCCATGAAGAGTGAATAGAAAAGCAAATAAAGCACCTGACCGGGCTGGGATAAGGAGACAAGACACAGGTACAGGGCTTAGTCAAAATCCAGCACCACTAATGACATGATGGGGTTATGGGACATTTGGCCTTATGTTTTGATTTTTATTTTAATGCCCTCCCTATAATAAAATATACTTTAAAAAACTAAGAACTCATAGAAATCAAGTAAATAAAACCAATATCACATTGCACCAGCACCTAATCTCTTTTTGACTGACGATCCAGTCCAGGAAAGCCCAAAAAGGAAACATTAACACATGACAAAATCTTCAGCTCCATGGACTGTGGAAACACATCAAAGTTCAAACAAGAGGAATTGACTGATTATAAGGGAGAAAACTACAGCTAGCAGGAGAATGCCTCATCTGTCTGCAAAAAGGGGCATGGGGATGCCTCTTTCTCACAATAAATGAAGGTTCAGGAATCTACAATGTGCATAGGCATCACCAGCCAACTCGCCCACCAAAAGGCACTATCAGTCTGTCATGATGTGTTCGTTACAAGCGGAATAACTTCACTGCTAAGGTATCACCCTGGGACGTCAGCTACAGAAAATCATTATGTTCCTTTACAAAAATGCATGCAGAATAAATGATCAGGAATAATTTATTCAGTTACCAAGAAAATTTTCTTTTTTAAAATCTACCAAAGACCTTAGACATAGCAGACAAGAAACAGATACAGGGATTAATCAAAATCCAGCATCCAAACCGCTCAGGTTGCAGACAAGGAAATAGAGCCAAAGAGGGGCAGTGACTCACCAGGAGGCACGAAGCTAGACCGTGTTAGAACTGGCACACTTCTACACAACTTGACTCCTAGGCTGCTATTTGCTTCTCTTAATAGCAAAAAGGAATCAAACATGCATATTTTCATAAGACAAAAGAGTGTCTGCATAGGTCAATTGGTTCTATGAAATATTAATCCCAATTCCTTCATATATAGTTTTGTTCAGATAGCAACTTTTTATTATGCAAGTTGATAGAGGACATTGGACCATATTTAAACTACCTATTTCTCTCATAATTCCTAAAAGACCCCAAAATGATATATAAAATTTCCATGAGAGTAGCTCTAATATGGAAGAACAACCATAATAACTATACTTTTATAAATCTTTGTACTTTAAAAATCGCAATCATAAACATTATTGTATTTGACTCTTACAACAATCATATTGTACTCACTAGAGTGATAATCGTGCTAGATAAAAATACCACACAGTATAGGAAGGAAACTGCCCCCAGGAGACTTAAAATTATGTTACTTTCATTTAGAAGCAGCAGAACTAATGACATGACAAAGACTAACTTAAGTATCTAATAGAGGTGCTAGGGGTTAGAAATCAGAAAAAGCTGACTAAAGAAAGTGGCACTTGTTGGTGAGGATGTGGAGAAAAGGGAACTCTTGCATACTCTTGGTAGGAAAGCAAATTGGTACAGTCATTATGGAAAACAGTATGAGATTCTTCTGAATTTTAAAAATACAATTACCACATAATCCAGTAATCCTACTATTAGGTATATATCCAAAGGAAATAAAATCAGTATCTCAAAGAGATACCTGTTCTCCCATGTTCATTGTGGCATTATTCACAATAGCTACTATATGAAACCAACCTAAGTATCCATTAATGGATGAATTGATAAAGAAAATGTGACATCAATGTAGACATATATGCATATACACACAGTAGAATATTAGCCATAAAAACACCATTTGTAACAACATAGATGAACCTAAAGAGCCTTAATACTAAGTGAAATAAGTCAGACAGAGAAAGACAAATACTATATGACCTTACTTATAAGTGGGAGCTAAAAAAAAAGAGTTAAACTCATAGAGCCAGAAAATAGAATAGTGGTTACCAGAGGATAAAGAGTGGAAAAAATGAGAGATGTTGGTCAAAGGTTACAAACTTTCAGTTTTAAAATGAGTAAGCTCTGGGGATTTAATGTGCAGTATAATGACTGTATAGTTAATGATATATATTATATGTAACAATATACAGTTATTAATTTCTGTTGTATGCTTAAAACTCGCTAAGAGAGCAGATCTTAAATGTTCTCAAATAAAAAAGCTATCTATGTAAGGATGTGGGAATTAACTGGCCTGTGGTAATTTCACAGTGTATATTTATATCAAACAATTACATCATATGCCTTAAGTAGATAAGATTTTATTTGTCACTCATACCTCAATAAATCTGGGAAAATAAAAGAAAGTGTCCTTATTCTGAATCTTCAAATATGAACAGATTTTCCATAGATAGAAAGAAAGTTAGAGGACATGTATTCCTTGGCTGTCTACCAGGTCATGAGCAAATCATGCCAGACTCAAAATACAACACTCAGCTCAGGGCCCCCACCCCCACCCCACCTTCCATCCCACTCTCATTCTGCTACTCAGGTTTTCTCTTGCCTTTCCTGGTGCTGAAAAATTTGTTTACAGACTTCTCTCTGCAGCCCTGAAAGATATATGAAAAACTGGCTTTTAATAAATATATAAAGAACTGGCTTTCAATAAACCTCTTAAAAAATAAAAGAGTCATGTAATTGTAAACACTCAGGCCTGATAGAGAGCTGTGTATTTACATTCAATTAGCAAATAGTTTATTGAGTTCTCCACTTGAAAAAAATCCCTGGGCTCTGAGCTTCAAAGGTTGCCAAGGAAGATTGGACATTGGCTCTCCCTCCAATTTAATGAATAATTATTGTGTATCAGCCACTGTGCTAAAATAGCTGGCATTTTATTTATTCATCACAACAACTCCATATGAAAGTTATAACTCCTGTTTTGCAAAGACATGAAATCTCTAAGAGATAAGTAACTTGCCAAAGGTCATACAGGTGTGGAACTGGGATTTAATATCTAAATTTTATACTTTCCCCTATATTGTCTTATAACTGTGAAGGCATAGCATCAGCATACAAAACATAGCAACAATAATAAGCCATATGAGCTACATGTGAAATGGAAAACACCACAATATTAAATTTTAGAGTAAGAGAGCAAGGAGAATCAGAGAGTACCTCTTGTGAAAAGTAGGAATGAAACTTGGCCTTGAAGAGTGTATGCAAGGGATTGGTATTCAGGGTGAATGGGAGTGAATGAGAATCCACAAAGGTATTTTTAGAGGCATTGAGTAGAGTTGTCCGGATGGAACAGAAGGTTCATGCTTTATAGAATGACACTATATAATGAATGTCTAGTGAAGCATCTGGCACACCACTACAAGATTGCAACATGGAAATGTGCTATATGTTGCTGTGTTGTAACAGATTTTATAACAGACTTCTTTACTGTTATAATGTTGCCTAAACCACAGAGAGTAAGAGAGACAGGGAAGAGTAACATCTGGAAAAGCCTCTCAAATATAAAAGTAAAATATGTCTAAAAACCTTAATTTCCATTTTATGTAATGAAAAGATTTACAGAGAGTAAATCAAGATATTCTATAAAACTAAGCGTCTAAATAAATCTTCTTGGGGGAAGATTTATGAGAGAAAACATAGGGGTTACAAAGAATTCACATTGTTTGTAATAATGAAAGTGTTTAAACATAATAGAAACGGACATTGTTGTCCATAAAAGGACAAAGTTAAGAAAGGTACTGAAAATGGAGGTTAAAAATATAGGACTATTTCAGGAGAGAAAAAACAGTGGGTACAACTCTGAATTTTCTAAGCTACACATCATTTTGAAGAAATTAGATGTAATTATTATCCAACCAAATCAATAGACTTTCATTCATGAAAGATTGATTTGTAGTATTTAGTAGCAAAGTTTCAGTGAACAAGTTGTGAAATAAAATTTTTTTGGATTTCATAATCACTTATAAGAACTACCATTGTGCCAAAAAGTAGGCACTGGAGACAAGTTCTTAATATATCTACTCTTAAAATATTGAGCATATATTTAAGAAAAAATCTGAGCTACATTTGATGGCTAAAGCCATCATATTGAACCAAGTTTAAATTCTATAATCGTGTATTCACATATTATCCTGTTCAAGCAATGACATTCAACATAGCTCATCCCTACATATTTATACATCAATTATATTAAGGGAAACATTCATACAGGGAAAATATGTAGATGTTTATTAACTTTCCTTAAAGAAGGAATGTTTTAACTTTGAAAGATCCACTAGCCCTATGCCCCAAACTTCCTTAATTCCTCCCTTATTTCATGCTTACATTCTTTCCTTGGTATTCTATAGTAATCCCAGGCTACCCGAAAATGAAAGCGTTAGGGCCATGGGCCCATCTCTGTCCAAGGTCCTGACAACTGTCTCCTGGAACATCTTGGACAAAGACGATAATATCTATTTTTAAATAAATTATAATAAAGAAAGTTGCTCTGGCAGTGCCCTCTGGAAACCCACTGCAATATTCGACAACTGAAACTATAAGGAATTCTTCCTTTTGACCTAAATCCTTTGCAATAAAATCTAAATCCATTTTGTCTTCATTCTCAGTAGAGACTGAGCAGGTTTGAGTTCTTTTTTTTATGGAGGGAGTGGGGC